TTTGAATGTTTCCAGTTGAGCATGTGGCTTTAGCTTTTTCACATACTGTCACTTGTATCCTGTGGCCTGTGAGGCTGGTAGTAGGACAGCTTACATGAAACACAGGTTGACTGAACTTGAACTGTTGGCAGTTTGAATTCTGGCTTTCTTGGCTCCTAGGGGTAGGCAGACAGAACATGGGAGCCACAAGACCAAATGCAGGCAGTCTTCCCCTATAGCTGTGCCCTGGCGAGTCTTCCCAGCTCAACCAGCCAGGCCTGCTTACACTTGTCCTTCTGCCTGGTAGAATACACAACTAATGCATCTTAGTTTGAGTTGTTGCTTAATTGATGTAGGGGTAATAGCACAGACAAAGCTCTTCACCTTCCCTTCAGTGATGATCCGATGACGAGTCAGAAGGGATGTCCTTGTGTCATTGCAGCCTGTTCAGTGCCATGTTCTGTGGTGCTGGGCTGAGGCTGCCTTGGGCAGGATGTCCCGTTCATTGGATGATTTTGAGGCATTTGTCTGAGAAGGGATGCAAAAACCCTCAGTGCAGCTTCCTATAGGAAAGTGAGTTACCCCAGGGAGGACAGGGTTTAAACCAGGGCAGGCATGACTGAGGGATAGGGCATGTTTTCATCCTAGTCCCAGGCTGAAGTTAGCAAAGGCAATGAACTAGATAAAGATAAAACATGCTGATTTAAATTCAGAGTAATGGGATTTCTAGGCTTTAGCACATTCAAGGCCAGGTTGGACAGGGCTTGGGGCCACCTGGTCCAGTGGATGGTGTCCCTGCCTGTGGTAGGGGGTTAGGACTAGATGATCTGAAGGTCCTTTCCATCCCAAGCCATTTTATGGTTTGTGTTAATCATCTTGCATCTTAGTGTTGTCAGGATGGTTTTGGTGCAGAAAGCATGTTTTGTGGGGTTTGTCCCTGCTGAATGGGTGCTTGATATTTTGTATTGTCCCGTCACTCTTTACAGGAGTACTGGGAATCAAAGTAAAGATTATGTTGCCCTGGGACCCAAGTGGAAAGATTGGCCCCAAAAAGCCTCTTCCAGACCATGTCAGCATCGTGGAACCCAAAGAAGAGATCTTGCCCACCACCCCCATTTCAGAGCAGAAAGGTGGCAAACCAGAACAGCCAGCCATGCCTCAGCCGGTTCCCACTGCCTGAGGGGTAAGTGCCTCTCTCTGTGTGGTGGGAGGCAGGTTTGGGGAGGGTCCATGTGGAAAGGGTGTCATGTCACCCAAGAAAGGCTGCTGGGGGGAAAAAGGTGCTGCCTTGAACCAAGCAGAGTGTTCAGTTGGACTCGGTTTAGAGCATTGCCCTGCATGAAGAGGGCATGGTTCAAGGCAGGCTGCAAACCAGCTAAGCACACCCTTCAGTGAAGATGAGATGACGAGTCTGAAAGGAAATATCCTTGTGCAAGTGCCCTGTTTTCACGTTGCGTCCTGCAGCATGAATTTGGGGACCTTGGGTCACAATTTGATTGACTTAGAGGCATTTGTCTGAGAAGGGTTCAGTGCCTCGGGTGTTTTCATGTTATGCCACTGCTACCAACGTGCAGTTGACAGCACAGGGTATCTGTCCCGAACTGGATCCCATGGGGGGTATACTTGGAAGCCAGTAACATTGAGCACAATGCTTAGGCTAGTTTTGTAAGTAAATAATGGCAAGTTTGAAACCCTCTCTGAATGAGGAGCTTCTAAGATGGAAATAGATAGCTTGAAATTGTCTTAAGAGCTTCTCTGAGTTGTTCCCAGTGAACATGTGCAGTTTGCTGGCTTTCTCTGAGAGCAGCAGGAAGGAGAGGGCCTAAGGTTGCTTCCAGGTTCCTCAGCTGCTGTTGAAAGCAAGGCTGTGGTGGTCTCTGACTGAATGAGGAGCTCATCTTCATTTTAAACCCCTGATGAAGAGTCCCTCTCTGGTGTCCTTGCAGGCCCCTTCCAGTATCTGATGGGAGCCTACAAAGATGCTGGAGAGGGACTCTTCATCAGGCACTGCAGTGATAGGACAGGGGTGATGGGTTCAAACTGAAACAGGGGAGATTTAGGTTGGAGATAAGGCAAGAATTTCTTCCCTGTGAGGGTGCTGAGGCGCTGGCACAGGGTGCCCAGAGAAGCTGTGGCTGCCCCATCCCTGGCAGTGTTCAAGGCCAGGTTGGACACAGGGGCTTGGAGCAAGCTGCTCTAGTGGAAGGGGTCCCTGCCCGTGGCAGGGGTTGGAGCTGGAGGAGCTTTAAGGTCCCTTCTAACCTCTGTGATTCTATGAAGCTGGCTTTGTGTGAACAGGCGGAGTTCAGGGAGTTTGCAGGGCTCCTGTGGGGAAAAGGGGATCATTGGCTAAAATGCAGGAAGTGAGAGATTGGAAATCATGGAACAAACATGGAATCGTGTTTGTTCAGTGTTTGGGGTAGGAGAATGGTTATGGGAAATAGCTTGCCACCATCTCACTCAGTATTCTGTTTTTTGTTGTAGGGTTTGTAACATCTGCAACCAGAAGCTTGACTGTCCTGAAAACATCTCTTAATAAAATCACAAAAGACAGTGTTTGTGGAGGTCCTTTACTTGTTTTCCAAGATGTATTCCAGGAAAGCCTTGCTCCGCCTTTGGTATGGAAGGAATTCTGTTGCATTTCTTCCAGGTCGTGTTACCCTTTTGGAGTGAACTTAGGAGATCCTGATCTAAAAGTGGGGACAAAATGCTGATATCTGGTAGAGTTGGAGCCAAGCAGGCTGGTATTAAGAGGGTCATCAATAACATGAACTAGAGTAGTGCTTCGAACTCTTCTCTTCCATACCAGTCCCTTACTCCGAGGTTTCCAGAAGGGGGAGCTTCTTTAGCAGTGTCCAAAGTGGTGGTTTACACCTTTGTGGCTTCAATGTAAGTGTAAACTGAAGTGTTACTGTATTCTGCTGAATGCTTTTTGCACCTCTGTACATCCATTTATTTCCCTTGGCACTGAAAGGATGTTCAGTGTGCGACTTTCAGGCCTATAGACCACACAGGAACCTTATGGCTCCTGTTAGGGTCAAGTAACCTTTGCTGGTAGAGATGGGGAGTGAGACAAACTCCTGAGTAGGTGTTTTACACAATAGCTGGGGAGAAGTGAGTGTACACTCCTGAGTTTCAAACCTATCCTAAGCTTTGAGATGGAAATAGATTGAAGCAGTTGGGAAAACACTTGTCTTCCTTTGAGGCTTCTCACTGTATTAATAACTGGCTTTAATAAGCTGTAGGATGACATCCTGAAGCTGATAAGAGATGACAAGGCTACCTAAGCTGTTGAAATGTATAGTCTGTATGCAGGGATGTGTTTCCACCTCTGTTCTATTGCTGTATGAATGTACCTGTTCCTGTCTGTCGTGGTGAAGCTAAAGCCTGTAGTTTAAAGCAATGAGACTGAGCATTTGGTTAAGTTTCAGGCAGAGATTCTGGTTCTGTCAGCTCCTTCCCCAGTGTGTTTCTCAGACTGCAGTGCAGTAATGGGAAGAGGCTGTTACACACCCCCTTAGAGATCATGTTGTGTGCAAGATCAAGACTTCCTGTCCCCATTTGGGAAATTCAGAACCTATTTGCTGCATCAGAACCTACAAATCTGCAAACTGTGTTGCTTGGGAATGGCTTTGACAGCCAGATTGCCATTTTGGGCAGGCTTCTCTGCAGGCAACTGGAACTCCAAAGTGACAGTGTCAGGAAATGCTGTCTGGCAGCGAGTGTGGGTATGTGAGCCTCAGCCTGCCTGTTCCCAGCTTCTCTGGCAGGTCTCCTGTCAAACAGTTGTGCTTCCTCAGGGTGTAAGGGAAAGTGATAGCAGATTTCTGTGCACATCTTTCCATGGGAAGCTTTTAGAAGTTACTCTAAGTGTTAGAGTTAAGCAATGCCAGCATCAAATTTTGACTTTCTAAATAGCAACGTGGATTTGGAAAGCAATTCCAAAAGGCAAGATGACAGACCAGTTTTGTCACATTATAGGAGCAGGAAATGCGTGAAAGCTGGAAGCAAGAGAAGAGTGCAAGGATTTGCACGTTGTGTCTAAATTCTAATACATCCCAATATGTGAGATGATGATCAGCTAGGGGTTTCTCCTGCAGTCCTCCAGTGAGGGCTGGCTCCTGGAGAGTATGAGACTCCAACTTAGTCTCATGGTGCTGATCACTGGTAGCATTAAGATGTTCAGTTGCTTGTAAGATCAAGGGATGTGCAAGTAGTGAGCTTAAGAGTTAGGATTGTGTACTTCTTTTCTTGCTAGATAAGTCATGTGAGAAGTTGAGGACAACATCAAGGATTTATTGCTCTGGTGGGATTCCCCTCTGGAGTACTGTGTCCAGCTCTGGGGCAACAATGCAAGAGGGATGTGGAGCTGTTGGAGTGAGTCCGGAGGCCGTAGAGATGCTGTGAGGGCTGGAGCAGCTCTGCTCTGGAGCCAGGCTGAGAGAGCTGGGCTGGGGCAGCCTGGAGAAGAGAAGGCTCCTGAAGGGGAGACCTGAGAGCAGCTCCAGTGCCTAAAGGGGCTGCAGGAAAGCTGGAGAGGGGCTTGGGACAAGGGCCTGTAGGGCCAGGCCAAGGGGAATGGCTTTAACCTTCCCGAGGGGAGACTGAGCTGAGCTCTTAGGCAGAAGCTCTTCCCTGTGAGGGTGCTGAGGCACTGCCACAGGGTGCCCAGAGAAGCTGTGGCTGCCCCATCCCTGGCAGTGTTCAAGGGCAGGTTGGACACAGGGGCTTGGGGCAAGCTGCTCCAGTGGAAGGGGTCCCTGCTCGTGGCAGGGGTTGGAGCTGGATGAGCTTTAAGGTCCCTTCAACCCAAACCAGTCCATGATTGTAAGAAAAGCTGACCACCTAATACTATTCATTTCCCTTGATTGACATGTTGGGTATTAGTGTATTTTTTTGTCCCTAACCACTAGATTAAGCCAAGTGAATTGGATTTAAGGATGGCAAAGAGCCTCTCCAAGCCTTTTTTAGGAGTATTTTGTCTCCATCCAAGCCCTTCAAGTGACTGAGGCTGCCAGGGCTTCATTGAAAAAGTTTTATTGCAAAATTAGACAACAGTCACTGTGTGGTACAAGAAGAGACAACAAAAGCCATCAGACGCCTGCATCCACATGATGCACATTATTCACAACATCCCACAGTGTGTTCCTGCCTTACCCACCCCTTTACCCCCCCTCCAATCCCAATCCTCCAGCATGTGGGTTTCAGTGCGCTGCTTCTCACCAGGTAGCATCTACCATGCACCCTGGGCTTTAGGCTTGCTGTGCATTTGGGTATATCCTTGTGGATTGCTTCCTACCTCCCAAAAAAGCACCTGGGAATATGAGCTGGGAAGGGGCTTAAGGGCAAGAATCTCCCATTCTGGCTGGCTTGGATAGGAATTAAGGCAGATAAGCTTGTGTAAGCTTGCAAACCTGGAGCATGCATGGCCAGGTCCAACTTGGGGGCATGAGCTGCTCAATTTTTGCTTGCAGGAAGCACCTAATAAGAGAGTTGCTGGTTTTAACTTAATAAATAAGTGGAAATAGTCCTGTTTATGGTCGGAGAATGCAGTATTGGGCTTCTGTGTAGGAACCTGACAGCAAGCACATTGGCAGGGAAATAAAAGGGAGAGAAAAGCAATGCAGTGGTGCTCCTTGCTGGTTTGAGTTAACTGGCACTTGGATTGTGATGGATTTCTCCCAGTCATCTTGTCACGGTTTGTTTGCAGTGTGTCTCAGTGCATAGCAACTTCAATGCTCATGGGATTGTATCAGTTACTTCCTTAAGTATTAACCTGATATCCCTTAAGAAGATAGGAACAGCCTCCAAGTCTAGGCTGGAGTAGGCTATGAAACATGCTCTTTATCAGACATAAATAAGAGTAGAACTATAAATACATTTGGTTTTCAGCATGCTGTTACCCAGGACAGCCATCAGGGAGCTAAAGCATCATGCAGAGGAGGAGCTTCAGAAAAGGGTCAGGCACTGGCAGCTCTAAAGCTTTGTATTTATGTGGAAGTGAACCTCCTCCAGCTCCCTGGGAGAAGCCAGCAGAGTCCCCTGACCTGCAACAGGAGCTGACAGCCACCAGCCCTGCTTGTAACTGGGATACCCTTTGCAGTGGTAACTCTTTCCCAGCCTCATCTGCTGATGCAGAAGCACCAAGAGGAGTGGAGTTCCTCTGTCTGCATGGTACAGGATGTTCAATTCCAGATGCTAGCCCAAGAGCCCCCCTGGTGATCCCCATGGGATGCAGGAGTGCTGAAGGGACCTAGCTCTGCTCTTAAGGGTGTCAGCAGACACCAAAGCCACTTACTTCTCCGTGAAGCATTAAGCAAAGCTGTGCTTGGCTTTGCAGTGAGTGTTCTAGCTATGGAGCTGATAGCTATTGCAGCTGGAGTCATCCAGAGCAGGGTTAGGCAGGACAGAAAGGCACAGCTCCATGCAGTCTCCATTCTTACATGCTGTCACGGTCCTGCTCAGCTCCCAGGACCACAGAAGAGGCTGGACCTTAGAACTGCCCCTTTGTGCTCTGTTACATACCACTGAGGATAGAAGAGAGAAGCAAGGAACAACTGCAGAGCAACCTGAGCAGCTTTGGTGTGGTGCCACATGGCAAAGGAGGAGAAAAGCAAGCAGGAGAGCTCAATGTGCAGGAGCATTTGAGATGGAAGCGTGAAGGGCTTGTGCCTTTGTAGAGCTGGTGGTAGCAGCAAGGTACTTAGCAGGAGGCTTAACTAATGCAAGGAGGAGGTAGGCATCAGCCTCAACATCGCAGCTGGGATGGTGCATGCCAGTTCCTTTCCACTCCTGGTGACCCTCTTGTGGCAGGCTCCTCTCTGGAGGTGGGTCTGTGCAATGGGTATTCTGGGGTGAGGTAAAGTGTATGCTGGTTTCTCATCACAATGCACCCTGGTCTGAATAGCACCCATAGTTCGAGAAGGATACAAAATAGTGTTTCCCCTTTTTTGAAATCCCCCCACTAAAAAACACACAAACCAAAGCTCTTGGGGATAAACCCAACCCAACTACAACTCATCACGCATCTTGTCTCCTTTGGGCCTCACGAGCCTGCCAATGAAGAGGATGGAGTTGGTTTTACTGTCCTTGATCATGAAGATGAAGGGGTGGTCAGCATAGAAGAGCTTGGGGTTCCTCATCTCCTCTCGGCCATAGATGTCAGCATCGTAGGGGTTCCCTTCCGTGTCCCATTCCAGAGCAGCAGCATGGAAGACATTGGACAGGTAAAGGTCTTTCTTGCCAGAGATCTTTGATAAGTCAGCCTTGGTTTTGTCAATGGCTTCTGTCAGACCCAGATCAGCCAAGTGTTTCTAGGAGGAGGAAAGAGGTCAGAGATGACACAGTGCAATCCACTCCAGCCATGGTTACCCCAGCCCCCAGATGACAGGCATACAGAGCCCATCATCCCATTATCTTCTCTCCCAAGCCAAAGAACTCTCAAGTCCCAACTATTTTCTTAAGGACCTCTTTTACCTGAAGGTCATGGCTGACTTCCAGGACAACTTTAGGCAGTGAGATGGCCACTGATCTCTTCTTCATCTTGCCAGCCCAGGTCTTCAGCTGCTCCCTGTTCAGCAGCTTCTCAACCCTCTCCAGAGGCTCCACATGGTTTGGCATGATGAAGATCATGCTGGAGAGCTTGTGAGCCAGTGGCATCTCCACCACCTGGAGCTTCTCAGTCTCATCATCATAGTAATTGTAGAGACCTTGAAATCAGAAAAGCAGGAAATGGTGAGATGTGGAGCAGGAGCAAAGCTCCCCACAACCCTGGTGTGAATTCCCCCTGGACAGGTAGGGAAGTGAGTGTGAACACTGTTTTGGGAACTGGTCCACTGTTATTTGAGTTGGCAACAACTCCAAACTGCATCTCATTTGTGCAGTGAGCTGGGATTTACTCCTAACAGCCAAGCACCCAATAGTAAACATGGATTATCTCTGCCCACAGAGACACTGAGTCAGCAGAACAAGCACACCCAGCTTTGTCCTCTCACACTACCCATGAGGAAAACAACACTGGAAGCAGTTGATGGAAAACCAAGTAACAGAGCAGAAACCTTAACTCCTGTTGGTCTTGACACGGGGATGGAGGTTTGCAACTCACCTGTACGGTGCATCATGGGGACCCCAACGGTGTAGGAACGGGACACCATGAAGCCACGGTTGTCCACCATCTTATGATGGAACTTCTCATCCCAGTGAGCTACAGGAGGGAGAAATTCAGCGTGTAAGAACAGGAAACGGGTGGCAGTTGCATGCACAGTTGCTAACTACTTGCTCTGAAAGAGAACACGCCTCCAGTGGACGCAGGACTTGGGCTCCTCTCTATTGCCTTAGGTTCTGGGTCACTTGGATCAAGAACAGAAGGTAGAACTTACGCTTGAAGAACATGGCATTGACGATGAGGGCTCCATCAGTCTTCTCCACATCCTTGGTGACCTCTGGGAGTTTCCCATCCGTGGTCTGGGCTGCCCACTCGTTAATGGATTTCAGGGCGCTCCTCTTGTCTCGGAAGTTGATCTTGGAGTGCTCGTAGTTGTAGTGTTTCTTGCTGTTCTTCACAAAGTCATCAGCAAAGTTGATGGAGGCCGGGCCATACAAGCGGTTCCCGATCTTCCAGGTGACGTTCCGGGCTGTGCTGTTGCTCACCTCGTTCAGGAGCTCGGATAACCCGCTGTGGACATAGTCATCGTTCAGCTTGTCCGCACTGAGCACCGCCTTGGCTTGGGATGCGGTTGCGGCCTTGCCCCCGAGGGACACGAGCCCGAGGGAAGAGGCCACGACCACGGGGGACAGGAGGATGTTCTCCGTGTTCTTGTCCTTCGCCATGGCATGGTAGAGGTTGAAGGCCAGCGTTGTGCTGCGGTCAGCCAGTGTTGTTGCCTTGTCGCTCAGCTTCCTGTCCTCCGAGGGCACGGCGGCAGCGAGGCCGCAGAGAGCAAGGACCAGGAGAACCCACATGGCTTCAGCGGCGCCTCCGAGGACCTGCTGGGCAAGAAGAGCTCGTTGTCAACACAATTCAAGCCCTTCCTCAGCATTCACAGGCTCTTCCAGTGCAACCCGAAGCGATAACCAGAGCATCTGCAGCAACGCTTCACTTGGGGTGCAGTCATGCCAAGTCCTCCCTGGGCTTTCCCCATAGCAAGAGTTAACCTAAAAGAGTGCAGGCTGTGCTCTGGCATGCACAGCCTATGCGTTCTGAATGACAGCTTCATTTTTAAGCTATTTGACTTTATCACTCTATGTTCATGGGCAGTAAAGGATTTAAAGAGGGGCAAGGGAATGGAAGGAACAGGTCTGATATGGTCTTGCTAGGCCAAGGGGAATGGCTTTAACCTGCCCGACGGGAGACTGAGCTGAGCTCTTAGGCAGAAGCTCTTCCCTGGGAGGGTGCTGAGGCGCTGGCACAGGGTGCCCAGAGAAGCTGTGGCTGCCCCATCCCTGGCAGTGTTCAAGGGCAGGTTGGACACAGGGGCTTGGAGCAAGCTGCTCCAGTGGAAGGGGTCCCTGCCCGTGGCAGGGGTTGGAGCTGGAGGAGCTTTAAGGTCCCTTCAACCCAAACCACTCTGGGATTGTCCCAACAGTAGCAAGTCAAACCTTTGTCCTGGTCAGCAGCTAGAATTGGGATGGTTCTGCTGCCCAGGACCACACAGCATAGTGCAGCCCATCAGTCCAGAGGCTACTCTGGTCAGTGCACAGCAGGGATTGTCCTCTTCGGGGACCTGAGCTTGGTACCCAAAGTACTCAGCTTTCTAGACACTAGATGGAGTACATGAGCTTCCACCAAGCTAAGGCAGAGGTGGGGAGCCTTGAGAAGCGCCAACACTGTAGGATCAGCTCCATCCCACTAAAGTTTTGCCTGTACAGCTCTGCAAGGGAGGCACTGAGGCAGCTGAATGGGGTGGACCCCTCCTTTCCCCCAGCAGAGCCCCATCTCAATACGTTCATGCATTAGGTAGATTCATCTTATCAGATGTGCTGCATCCCCGTGAGGGCTCAGAGCTACCAGCTTCATAGAATCATAGAACAGTTTGTGTTGAAAGGACCTTAAAGCTCCTCCAGCTCCAACCCCTGCCACGGGCAGGGACCCCTTCCACTGGAGCAGCTTGCTCCAAGCCCCTGTGTCCAACCTGGCCTTGAACACTGCCAGGGATGGGGCAGCCACAACATCCTTGGGAGCCAGTTCTAGTGCCTTAAATCCAACCTGAACTTCCCCTGTTTCAGTTTGAACCCATCACCCCTTGTCCTATCACTGCAGTCCCTAATGAAGAGTCCCTCCCCAGCATCCTTGCAGCCCCCTTCACACACTGGAAGCTGCTCTGAGGTCTCCACGCAGCTTCTCTTCTCCAGGCTCAACAGCCCCAATGTTCTCAGCCTGGCTCCATACAGGAGCTGCTCCAGCCCCTGAGCATCCTCGTTGCCTCCTCTGCACTTGCTCCAGTGGGAGCTTTGATGATCTCCAGAGTGACCAGTCCTAAATGCCGTGTCCAAAAGCTCTCTGGAGCTCACCCCGCTTACCTGCAAGGCCGTAACGTGTCCCCAGCCCTTCCCTTCCCTCCCTCCACACTGCTCACAGCAACCCTTCCCCACAGCACCTCCTAAGGGCTTAAATTCCTCCTTCATTCCCAAAGCGAGCCTTTGGATGACCTTCTCCTCCCACAGCCTGCCTCAGACCCAAGGCTGTGCTGAGCTCTCCTTGCTCCTCTCCTCCCACCCTGCTCCAGGCTGCCTTTTGCATGCAGGGACAAGAACGGGCTCTCCCGGGGCAGCGTCAGGGTTAAAGGCAGCAGAGGAAGCGAAGGGCCCGCTGGGATTACATATGGAAGGAAACACGCACGTAGCCCGAAGGAAAGCGAGTGCGCAGTTGCACCAGGGACCCTTTGCCAGCGCAGGGATTATGTATCCTCAGAGACTCATATCCTAAACTCCTTTTAGGAGCAAGCCTTCTGTTGAAGGAAGGAGCCATCCCGGCTACCGAAGAGCAGAGATTTGTGCAACAGGCTCAAAGCTGCACTTTCAAGGTGCAGAATAAGCACTTCAAGGTTTTTCTTTGGTCCTTTTTCTTTCTAAGGATACCTTGGAAGTGTTTCCTAGTGAAGCCAACGTTTGCCTTTTTCATTCTGAAAGAGAACAGATACATGGAGTAGTTCCTATAAGGAATGGGCGGCCCACACCGCTTCTATCACCAGCTTAAAGAAGGGTTCATTACTTCCGAGACCAGCCAGCAATGGGTGATGCAGTGCAGTGGCACCAAGAGAACTGCTGCCCATCCTTGGATTACGGCTGGGATTAGCGGTGGATCCATTACCAAGGCTGGAAACAGAGGGAATGAGGGGGGAATTCACGGCCGATAACATCCTCTCTCCAGTGTGTGCAGCCTGTGGATAGGACGCCCTGTGCCAACGTGGCATTCCACAGACCTCCTCGGGATGTCAGGGGCTTGCTCTGCTGGTGGGATTTGGAGGGGTCATCGCCCATGACAGCCACCCAGAGGCACAAAGCCCTGCGAGGGCTGTGTTTCACCCACGAGCAGGATAGAGCAATGCATGCAAGAGAGCAGAGGGCCAGGGATGTGACACTTTAAGGCAGGCAAAGGCCAGCACTGGTCCTGCAGGGAGCTCTCATCATGCGCTGGGCTGGTGCCCAGGGTCCCGGAGGCTCCCAGGCTGAGCTGTAACTGGAGCCGGAGCCGTCCTCTAACCAGGAATGCTCTGGGACCCTTTGGCCCAAGCCAGCGCTTCCTTCACCTCCTTTTTCACCTTTCAAAAGCTTCTCCAGGGTGCAGCCTCTGCCACCCTCTCTGACCACGTAAAAATGGTGATGGGGGGGGGATCTTTTAATGCGTTTTCACTAAATACACCCAGTTTGTGGGGCAGCCTATCCCCTACCCCCCCTCAACTCCAACACAACCTATCCGCGATGCACCTCTGTGCAATCACACCCCATGCACCCCCAACTTCCCTGCCCTATGGGGGGAGCCAGGACCCCGACGCGACCGCATCCCTGCCTGGCATCAGCCCTACCCTAGCGTACCCCGTTCCCTTACCTGCGGGCTGGGGCGCTGCCCTGCGCGGCTCCCTGTGCACCTCGCGGTCCCAACGGCGGGGGTATATAAGGGGTCGGGAAGAAACTTCTGGAAAGTTGGGAAAAGCCTCTTCAAAAGCGCCCCGGGAGGAAGGGGAGGATCAGGGAGAGGAGCCAGGCCGGGAGCCAATGGAGGGGAGCCGAGGCGAGGAGGGGGGGCTGCGGGACGTGCGGTCCTTCTGCCCGCCCGCCCGCCCGCCCGGAGCTGAACGGGAGCAGCGTTCCCGAGATGAAGCCGTGTTTGTGCGGGGGTACGGGGCTGTGGCCCCTGGTATCGGTGTCTTATTGTTGTATCCGAGGGCTGGAGCAGCTCTGCTCTGGAGCCAGGCTGAGAGAGCTGGGCTGGGGCAGCCTGGGGAAGAGAAGGCTCCTGAAGGGGAGACCTGAGAGCAGCTCCAGTGCCTAAAGGGGCTGCAGGGAAGCTGGAGAGGGGCTTGGGACAAGGGCCTGTAGGGCCAGGCCAAGGGGAATGGCTTGAACCTGCCCGAGGGGAGACTGAGCTGAGCTCTTAGGCAGAAGCTCTTCCCTGTGAGGGTGCTGAGGCGCTGGCACAGGGTGCCCAGAGAAGCTGTGGCTGCCCCATCCCTGGCAGTGTTCAAGGCCAGGTTGGACACAGGGGCTTGGAGCAAGCTGCTCCAGTGGAAGGGGTCCCTGCCCGTGGCAGGGGTTGGAGCTGGAGGAGCTTTAAGACCCCTTCAACCCAAACCAGGCTGGGGTTCTATGATTCTATGGGCATCCCCCTGCTCCCAGCACCTCCTGAAGCTGCCTGGTTGTTGGCACGTGAGGGGGGTGACCTGAGCCTGAGCAGTCACAGGCAGCAAATGTTTAACACCTCCACCTCATTCAAACCACATCTTCCCATCTCTCAGGTGCTCCCCGATTTGGTGATACCCCAGAGGACCTGCAGTCATAGAATCAGAATGGTTTGGGTTAGAAGGTACCTTCAGAGCTTATCTAGTCCAGCCCCTTGCAATGAGCAGGGACATCGTCAACAGGCTCAGGTTGCCCTGATGCTTTGCTGTGATCTGATATCCAAGTTACCAGCAGCTGGGGACCTTCCTCATATTACTGTATCCCCAGAGGCTGGTTTTCCATCCATCTCTCCATGAGCATTAACACCCACTTCTCCTTTCCAATGAACATCTTCCCCCCACATCTTCCCCAGTTCCACATTTCCCCTTGTACTTTAGGCATGCGATGAGCAGGTCGCTTACGGTGTGTTTTTCACTGTATCATAACACAGTGGCACAGTCCTCCTGCCTGGCCAATGAGGCAGTTTAGAAAGGCATTAGGGCAGCAAATCCAGCCCCAAAGGGATGCTGAAGGAGTTAAATGCTCGTGCTGCCCAGCGGCAGACTGCCTGGCTGAGAGCTTACAGCAAAGTATGTGCCATAGAGAGTTTCTGTGCTGAGTCACAAGTCCTGAGCCCCACTTGCATTTAACCCTGGCACATTCTAAGCCAGCATGGGATGTTTTTAATGGCAGTCTGGGATACAGAAGTAATCCAGATACCGCCCATTAGATAAGCACCGTCCTCGTCGATGGTTATGTTAGCAGGATGCTGCAGCATTGTGTTTAACTGATGTCTGTGTCTTCCCTTGCTTCTGTTCACCATGTAATCTCATTCACCCTTCCTCATACTTTGGCTTTCCAAGTTTCTCCACTTCCCTTGGAAGATGGGTACCAGCAGGTTACTTCCCCTTGTTGCTATATAGAAACCAGCATCTGATTGTGTCTTCTGGCTTGGGATATTCTGTCCTTAAACCTGGGTTCTTGTCTTGCAAGCACCTTGCATCAGGATCATCTCATCATCTCCCACACAACTCCAGTCCATGGATTCTAGAAGGTGGCATCAAAAAGGGACATTTTCCTCCCAAACCATTCAGATGATGCCGGGTGAGCAGAGACTCCAAGGAGGAGAGGTCTTTAACCAGAGTTTTCCACCAGCTGCAAGAAACCAGCTCCCCAGCACCCAAAGAGCAACACAGTGTGTGTGCTTCTGTGTGTGTTCCTATGCTGGTTTCACTCACAGCACAGTTTGCAGCACTGAGACCTTGATAACAGCGGGAGCAGATAGCGGGAGGTTTGTTCTGCTCACTGCGTGTTTCATCCTGCCTGGGAGAAAGGTTATCCCATCCAACCATTCCCAACAGCCCCACATCCAGCTCTGGGGCAGGAACACAGGAGGGACATGGAGCTGTTGGAGCGAGGCCAGAGGAGGCCATGGAGATGCTGTGAGGGCTCCTTAAGGGGAGACCTTAGAGCAGCTCCAGTGCCTAAAGGGGCTGCAGGAAAGCTGGAGAGGGGCTTTGGGCAATGGATGTAGGGCCAGGACAAGGGGAATGTTTCCAGCTGGCATCCTCCCTGGGCATTCCGCATTCAGGCAGGCACCTTATGCTGCAGTCTTTAATGGTAATGTGCCTAATGGCCTCAGAACCCTGATGTTCAGGGGTCTGCTTCCATCTGGGAGTGATTCAGTGTGAAGGAGAGGTTAAAGTACCTTAAGCATCCTATTTTGTGTGTATTTGCAGCAGTTTTCTATCTTTGTATGTACATAAATGATCAGAACGTGGCCTCAGGGTTTTAACTGCACGTTTGGTGCTTTATTAGTACATTGCCACAGTATAAAAGTGAATTTGCTGATGGTGAGCAATCAATACCCGGTGACACCTCACTGTTGTGCAGCAACAGCATGGACCAGAGCTGAGGAATGGGAAAAGCTCCTTTAAATTCCAGCGTCAGCTGGTTTCCATTGCCAAGCTCTGCCTTGCTCCACCTTCAAACCCTTCCCTGTAACTACTTCCCATGTAAGATTCCTTTCTCTTCCTATGAGTAACATAAACTCTTAAGCTTTTACTCTTCATGTCTTTCGATGCCTCCCAGCACCAAACCCCTTTGGTGCAGGGCTCTGTGCTTCGGTCCTTTAAACGGCTCCATCTCAAACCCAGGAATTTGGAGTTGGATAAAATTAGATTAAGCATTAGGATATTGCAGCTTTTGGCCTGATTTTTGAGTGTTTATTCCGATTTCTTCCTTTCTATCACCAAACACCCCACACTACTCATTCACCCCCCCCAGGGAACTCAATCCTCAGTGCATTGCTGCAGCTCAGCCGCAGTAAATCGGCACTGATTTAGATGCAGACACTGATTCAGATGCAGCAAACGAGTGACTCCCCACAAAGCCATCAGCAAACAGCTTCATCTGGACCGTAAAGATCTTTTTCCAGGGAAAAAAGTGCTGGGAATGGGGCTGATCTGCACTATGGGGGGGGGGGGGAGCTTAGTTGCTCTCGAGTGATTTCCAAGCGCAATAGGGCTTTGCAGGCGCTCCCTGCCCCCACAGTGCCACGTCGGAGATCCTACAGCAATGGGATGCGGGAAGAGGACCGGGAAGGGGGAGCAGCGCTGGGAGTTGCCTTCTTCCGTCTCCACTGCTCCTGTAATGAGAGAGCCCGGCTGCCAAAAGACACATCCACGGCTCCTCCCCTCCAGCCGCCCAGCTCCAAACCGCACTCGTGCATAGGGAAAGACTTGGATTTCTTTTGTTGGGAGCTATTTCCAGCGTGGTTTTGCTCCCTGGGGAGCTTTTGGGTTCGGGGGGGGGGGAGCAGATCTATTGAGTTATAACGTACTTTGATTTAAATCCCCCCCAAAACATCGTTGGATGGGGCTTGGAGCAAGCTGCTCGCTAGTGGAAGGTGTCCCTGCCCATGGCAAGGTTGGAGCTGGAGGAGCTTTAAGGTCCCTTCCATCCCAAACCATTCCATGCTCTGATATCCCTGGACAAAGCAGACTGGGATTTGCAGCCTTGTCCCAGTGCTTGGGCCGGGTGTGTGGGAGCTGCTGGGGTGGAGGGCAGTGAGATGTGAGTGGTATTGGGTGTCCTACCGCCAGCTCCGTGCCCAGCTGTGAAACATCTGGGCGTGCTGTTGTGGTTGGTTGGCTTCTCTTGTTTAAAGCATAGAGGGTTACTAATTCACTTGATTATATATTAAAGGAGCAATTGACTTCTACAGAGGCAAACCCTGCAGTCTAACAGGCTCTTTGGAGAGAACTCCTTAAACACATGCACCCTTTCCTGTAGGCTGCAGTGACCCAGGGCACTGGCCCTTGGTTTCATGGAATCCCAGCCTGGTTTGGGTTGAAGGGACCTTAAAGCTCATCCCTCCTGTTCCAACCCCTGCCATGGGCAGGGACCCCTTCCACTGTAGAGCAGGCTGCTCAGTGGCACTGTGTCATCTCTTAAGTTGCCAGGAAACAGCAGGATTTCTGCTTCCCAGGATCAAGCGTGGTCTGTGGTAGCAATGGAGGCAATCTGTAGGGCACAGAACCTCAATCCCTTCTTGTACCTCTCAGCTTTAACGGGGCAGGGGACTGAAGCTGCTCATCAGATCCCACACTTAGGAGCATGAAGCTCTCAGGAGCTCACTCTGAACCAGATCCCTGGTTTGAAGGACTTTAACCCAGTGCTTTCTCATGCAGTTGCATCCACAGGAGGCAGATGGGTCCAATCTAAAAGGCAAATTAGACTAATTAGTTCCAGAAGGAGATACTAATGGGGATGTACTTGTCATCAGGGACTGTAGGGGTAGGAGAAGGAGTGATGGGTTCAAACTGGAACAGGGGAAGTTCAGGTTGGAGATAAGGCAGAAGCTCTTCCCTATGAGGGCTGCTCCAGTGGAAGGGATCCCTGCCCGTGGCAGGGGTTGGAGCTGGATGGGCTTTAAGGTCCCTTCAACCCAAACCGTTCCATCCCATGATCTTCTTCTTACCTAATGAGCAGGAGTGGGCAGTGAAGGTGAACCAGTGTAGGTCAGCCTGAGGGACCAGTCTGAGATCACCTCCCAGAGGCATGTGAAGAGCCACAGGAACCAGCCAGCATCACGACTCCGGTGGCAGGTGAGTTCCCAATAGCAGTCAAACACCATGGCCTCACCTGCAGGCACATCCCTTGTGTTGGATGAGGGGTTCTCCATGCAGAGCCAGTCAGACCTCCCCTGGTTCTCTGGGTACCCACGTACAAAGGCTTTGGGGTGGATTGTGCTCCTCTGCTGAGCTCGAGGGCAACTTCAGGGTTGATGCTTTAATCTTCCCTTTGCAGCAT